ATGCCTTATAAGTCTCAGCCCGAACGCAACGTGCTGCCGTCTATCTCCAATCTCACCCGCATAAGCTCATAAGCTTACATTCACCGCGACGGCATAATACAACGAGCATCAGTTAATAACAGACTCTCGCCTGGCCTTTTCCCATTTCCCCATCTATATAATTATACCTCTTGGTTCCCACTTGTTCATATATACCCTAACCTCACCTCACCGAACATCGCGGTCGCATAAAATCTATTTCCTGTTTTATCCATCTCTAATACAGTCGCACGAGTAATGACATCATGATCTCACAGATAGAACCAATATCACAGCCTCGGGGCAGGATAGTAGAAGATCCGTCCGCGGCTCTAAGTCTGTCCTTCAATATCGGCGAAAATCGGCCAGCTTCGCCATCGCCTTCTACTTCATCATCCTCATCACAAGACAGCATGGCCAGTGACTCGACCAGGACGTCGGCCTCTTCCTATCAGGCTGAGAATGCCTATTTCGGCTCAAATCCACCTCCTAAGGCGCTACCCCAGCACGTTGCCGCCGCCCAGGAGTTTATCAGTCATCATGCGGCAACAAACCGTCGTGTAGTTTTGATAACATCAGGCGGCACGACGGTTCCGCTAGAGAAGCATACTGTGCGCTTTATCGACAACTTCAGCGCCGGCACGCGTGGTGCTACATCTGCCGAGTATTTCCTGGAGTCGGGCTATGCCGTCATATTTCTCCACCGTCAGTTTAGTCTGTTGCCGTATAGCCGGCATTACAGCCACTCGACGGATTGCTTCTTGGATTTCTTGCACGAAGCGGATGACGGCAGCGTTATTGCAAATCCGGCTCATCAGCAGAAGATGTTGCGGGTTCTGCGCAAGTACAACGCCGCCAAGCGTCAGAATATGTTGCTCATGCTCCCCTTCGTCACCATCACCGACTACCTACACGAACTCAGAGCCGTTGCGCAATTGATGCGCCCGTTGGGACCAAACGGACTCTTATATCTAGCAGCCGCCGTGAGCGACTTCTTTGTCCCGCCAGACCGCATGGCAGAACACAAGATCCAGAGCACGACTGCGACAGATTCACTTGAACCGAAGAAGCAGCAGCAAGGACCGACAACAATCACAACAGAAAAGCGCGATCCGCTGAAGGAGAAGGAAACCGAAGACGAGGCCTTCGACAACTTCGACTCCTCGCCTTCGATCCCGCGCAGCAAGCGGCTGATTATCGACCTGGACCCGGTGCCCAAGTTCCTGAAGAACCTGGTCGACGGCTGGGCGCCCGAGGGCATGATCGTGTCCTTCAAGCTGGAGACGGACCCGGCCATCCTCGTGCACAAGGCCAAGTACTCGCTCAACCGCTACCAGCACCACCTGGTCATCGGCAACCTGCTCACGACGCGCAAGTGGGAGGTGGTCTTCGTCAGCCCGGGCCGCGAGGACCAGTGGATCCGCGTGCCCATCGCCCGCCGTAAGAAGACGCTCAGCGGCAGCGGCGTCGAGGAGCTGATTGGGGTCGCGGAACGCGAGGGAGGCGCAGGTGCGGGTGCGAAGGGTGGTGTAGCGGAAGAGGAGATAAATACGAGTAATCAGCCCATGGATCCCGCTACTCTGCCCGAAGGCGAGCCGGAGATGGAGATCGAGAGCCTCATCATTCCCGCGGTGGAGGCGCTACATGACAAGCATGTTGAGGCGATAAAGACGAAGAATCTTAGGAGTACGAAGTAAGAGGCAACTGCCAGGCTGGAAGGATCAAGGGAACAAAAAACTCTATTGGGGCAGTTTTGGCGGGAAATGCTAAGGACCATTGTGATTATCTCGGGTATTTGGAACAGGTATCTCGCACTTGCTGGTGGCATATATACCAGAGTTTTGTATTCACAAGACATTAATGCGACATGACTGCTCTTCAGGTCTGGTTTGGACAGGTCGTGATAGTACCTCTATGGTGATGCTCTTCAGAGGTAGAAATAACAGCACTGCAATGACGATATGGCTGGGCGTAGTAACACCGATAGCAAATTCGAACGAGATACCTACCTCCGACTCACCTGCAATAAGAAGATGTGTTGTCTATCTAACGGCTCACGCCACCTTTTGCATATAATAACGCGCGTACTAGTCGTCGCTCTGCGTCATATGAGCCTCTAGCAGCCCCAGGAAGCTGGGTGTGTAGTCGAATTAGAGCCGCTAACAGTAGACAGTTAATGCGCTACTTCTAGATTGCGCCTACCGTTTCTTTCTTTTCTGGTGCGGGAGGAATAATGGGTATGCAGTTCTTTGCTTTAACCTAGGTGGGCACTACCCATGGTTTAGAAACAATATGAACAGTCCTCTCCACTTACGTCACCACGAATTCCACATTCGTAGCTCGAAACACCTAAGCTAGCGAAGGCGAAGAGTGTCAATGCCTTTAATTACTTATTCCCTGATTGTGGTGTGCGCATGGGCGAGTGAGTGGCTGGGAGGGGGGATATTGAGGGAGTATTGGGGGCGAATTTCTCGGCTCGTGTCTCTGTCTTGTTCGGATTGTGCAGGGCGGCTTCAGTCAAGAGCTCATTGAAGTCATTCCCAATTCTATACAACCATTGTAAGTTGTCAATAATATGGCCAATCAGGAGTGACTCAGGCCACCATTCGTAATCAGTGGAGACTTGCTCTGGAAGTGGCCTATGGAACCAGATGCGGAGATGCTGTCGCTGGGGATCTGCGCTCTTCATGCCGGTCGACTCATAGAGGGATCTTGTAAGTCTTCGGATTGATTATGTTTGGATTGGTTTCGTTGGTCGGCGCGGTAAGGCGGCTAGAGCTGTTTACCTCAAAGCGTGTCTAAACTCCAAGTCGAACTCCAAGCAATAATTCATACATGGGGTACTTATCCTTGAAAGTAGTTGGACCGTTGCACTTGTTGAGACACGTCGAACGCAAATGTTTGTCGAAAATATACACCGAATCGTTCGAGAGGTATAGTTCGTCTCGAGCACTAAGGTTGGAGATCTAAGAGGTGGCAGCCTGGATTGCATCTAGGACCATGAGTCAATATGTCAGCTTGTAGTTACCAAATAGGAAAATGGTATGTTGTTTTTGCGGACTGAACAAAAGATTCCATGGAATATAAGCGCGTGATTACGGATATAAACAACATCTGCTAACGCATGGACCCGAGATCCATTCAACGACGACGCCATCCGTGCGGGGTAGCTAATCATCAATAGGTATATCAAGAGGGTCGTGATACTCATCGAGCTTTCTCAATTGTTCATGCTTTCTTAACTGTTTCCTCAGACATATCCCGAGATATCTATCGTATCGAAGCGCCGACCAAGCAATATAGCAACCATGGCTACAAGCGGACATCAGTCAGTCAAGGACCTCCCGCCAATCAAGCTACCGGCTGGCATCACGGAGGACTTCATCGACTGCCGAGATTCGTGCGGCCTCGTCTGGCATATTCTGAAGGCTGGTGACAAGGGGAAACCACTGGTCCTCTTCTGCCATGGTTACCCAGAGCTGGCGTACTCATGGCGTAAGATCATCCCTCATATTGCTAAAGCTGGATATTATTGTGTGGCAATGGATCAGAGGGGGTACGGTCGCACGACTTTACGTTCAGGAGCACCATCTGCCGAGAGTGAGCTCGGTGATTACGCATTCACAAACCTAGTGCGTGACCTGGTCTGTCTGGTCTATGGGCTAGGATATACGGAGGCCTTCAGTATCGTGGGACACGACTTTGGAGGCGTTAGCTCGGCCATGGCAGCTCTAATGCGCCCAGATATATTTAAATCGACGGTTCAGATGTCTCATCCGCATCACCCGGTTCCGGCACCGCGGCTGGGGGACGAACCTGCAGAGCCGAAGATTAATATTCAGGCAGAGCTAGCCAAGCTGAGCCCACCCCGCAAGCACTACAAGTGGTACAACTCGACACCTGAAGCGGCATCACATTGGAATAATCCACCGCAAGGCCTCTATAAGCTTCTACGCGGTTACTTTCATATCAAGGCCGCCGATTGGACCAAGAACGACCCGCGTCCTCTCGGAGAGTGGAGTGCTGAAGCGCTCGCAGTAATGCCGGAGTATTACATTATGAAGAAAGATCAGTCGATGCCTGATGTCGTTAGTTGTAACATGGACGGAGAAGATTACTCCAGCACCGAGAAATGGCTCACGCAAGAAGAGCTACAGGTGTACTGTGACGAGTGGAAGCGTACGGGGTTCCAGGGGGGACTGAGCTGGTACGGCGCACAAACGGCCACAGGGGCCCGAGACATGCTGCTGTTTGCTGGTAGGAGAATTGAGGTCCCGTGCGCGTATATTTCCGGTCAGAAAGATTGGGGGAATTTCCAGCAGCCCGGCGCCCTGGAGAGCTACATGAACTCGCGGGCAATCCAACCTGGATGCTTCAGGGGCTCCACGTTGGTGGAAGGTGCTGGACATTGGATACAGCAGGAGAAGCCGGAAGCCGTGATTGAAGCTCTTCTTGAATTCTTTGGGACAATGTAATTTATACAAAGCTGCAGCTTGTTCCAATGCAAATGGTCTTTTCCACCCTCCCTTGGTGATCCACCTAAGAGAGATTGGTAGTACTGAGACCCGAGTCTACGAGAAAGGATACTCGGGAAGTATGTTTGCTGACGCGGAGTAAAACTCCCTAGCGTAGAATTGGAAGAAGCTGCTGGAGCAGAAAGGAACCTAGGTACTCTGAGCCTAAATCTGTCAGGAGCTCGGATCGCTGCAGGCTCCTTCTCGCTTTTGTACACCGTAAAGGCTTAGGCACGCAGGCCCCCGATAAGAAGAGGGCTAACTTTGGCCAATAGCTCCGTTTGCTTGGTGAGCGTGTGGAAGGTGCAGTCACCCTTCGAGTACCCTTCGAGGACCAGAGAACCAATCATGCCCGTCTCCCAGGTCACTCTTCTCACCGTACATATATGCAGCAACAGTCCTTCCATCCCCAAGCCGTACTAGAGAAATGGGTATGTCAAGACCTCCATGGTCTACTGGTACAGACGAGCATTGCTAACTCAAATTACAGTTAACTCATCGGCCTCCTAAGCCGAAGATTCTCGGTTCGAGTCCGAGGTGCGGCGAGCAATTTTTTTCTCTCTCTGTCTTTTCTCTTTGGCGTAGAAATCTGTCACTTTTTTTTTTTCTCGGCTTCTTCTACATAGGATTCTGCTCACATGCAGCCGCAGTGATAGAAAACACATTACTGTTGTGATGTTTTTTCTCTTATTTAGAGAAACAAACAGGCAAACAATGATACTCGGATATTGAATGCTCCAGAATAGCATTTACCTAGGTAGTCATTTCTGCTGAATGTAACCCATCATTTTTTGACTATGTTTTGAATAGTCCTTGCGGACTACCGACGATGCTAAATTTCAGTACTTCGCACGTTTATTCAAAATTTCTTGTTTGTACGACAGCCTTGGCTATCACGTAATAGGTGAGAGGTAAGAGGTATTAATCGTCATTAGTGCGAATAAAAATCGAAAATTGAATTCAAGGTATGCTTCACCACTGTTACTCTGACATTAAGCTGCAGGATCTACTTCTCACCAACTATCTGTCCGTTCATCACGGAGTAAAAAGCATCCTCGGGTTTGCCCCATTGTCGCCATCTAGCTACGATGTTCGCCTCTTCCTCCTCGGTGATGATTATTCTTCCGTTGACCGCAGGATCTCCTTTTGACAAACGATCTGGCCGTTCATCGCAGAGTAAAAACCATCATCCGACTTAGCCCAGTCCCGCCACCCAGCTGCCATGTTCTTCGCCGCCTCTTCGGGCACGATAATAGCCCAGACCGCCCGTTTCAAATCGTCGGTCCCTTCCAGCCGAGACGCGGTCATATCACCCCACCATTGCCGATCGATGGGGTGTTCGTACGTTACCAGGCCAGCCGAGGCCGTGATAAAGTCGGGGTCGAACCCCGCCCGGCGAGCGAATTCTCGGCCCCGACCACCAGCCAGGTCCCTGCCGTCCCTAACGGACAGTCTCTTGTACATATTGATATAATTGTTGAGCGGCTCGGTGAGTGGATGCACTATTGTACTGGCCCACTCGACTTCTCGCGCGCAGACGAAGCCCCCCGGCTTGCACACTCGTCGCATCTCCCTCAAGCCGTGGACCGGGCCGGGCTCGAGCGCGTTGTATCTTAATTGCCCGAGGACCTGGTGGCAGTGAACCACGTCGAATGTGTCGTCGGCAAAGGGGAGCTTGAGGATATCCCCTTCGAAAAATTGGGCGTTGGTCACGCCACGCTGGTCACGGGTATTACGCGCCAGGTCGATGGCACTGGCAGAGATATCGACCCCCGTGACAGTTCCTTCGGGGACGTCCTCGGCGAAATCAAGGGTCATCTTGCCCATACCGCAACCAACATCGAGGATATGCGAATTGGGCTTTATGCAGTGAAGCATATAACCTGCCACTTCTCGTGTTGGCCGATTCGCCCAGCTTGTTATTCCGATCTGATTATGAATTGATAAGTCCATAATGTCAGCTGTGTCTATCGTAAGCGTCGACGACAGGGTGGTGGTGGCGGCAGAAAAGCAGGTATAATTGGTGAGATTGCTATAATGAGACAGAGCGTGTGGAAGATAATGTGACCTGGTTTCATATCTAATGGCCAGTTGACGGCAGAAGGAGGGAGGAAGATGGTTGATTGGGCTGTAGTAGATGGACTGCTTAGACGACGGCAGAAGGTTGAGGATGGAAGGATGGATATATAACAACGACAACCGCTCTCCGTCAGTCCTGTGCAATATTGTACGCCATATACAGATCGAACATCTCAATTCCAGTATTACAATAATAAATCTTGTAGCGCAGTGGTAGGATTTGACACGATGACCTTGTGCTGCCGGCGCAGAGTTGTAAACAGAGGTAACGTAACAATATCAATGCATGAGGTTCTATTCACTACGAAGCCCGACGTTGATTCTACACTATAATTGGAAGTTCTCAATGGAATTTGAGGCTATATTGAAGCATGTTGAATTATTTAGTAATAGATTGGACATAATAACATGCCTTGGTAAATACGATGGTATCGTATCGTCACTAACCCAGTACGCCGAGATTTACTATCGATTCCTCTCTTGAACATATTCCAACCTGAGATCGAGTCCGGAATCCCCTCGTATGATCCTATACAACGCGGAGGAGTTGAGCCGACGCTTCCCGTTCACGTCGGAGTACGGCCTGGGTCCTCCCTACGGTACACGGTCTAGCACAGTGTCACGAAGCTTCAAGGTGACTCCCGTCTCGATGGCACTGTTGACATCATGCTCGATATTGAAGCTACCACGCTCGTTCTGTCACAGTATTCTTGCGCGGGAGGGTATGGTCTGATCATGGTGTATCACCATTGCTTGTCATAGAGAGTCTAGTTATCGTCCGGACCTAGGCGGAGTGCGCGACGATGCCGAATTTGAGCGTCACAAATTTCCACAGTATTTAGGAGCCGAGGGCGGCTTTTTCTGCACAGACGTGTGCTTCTACGACGACCTCGACAAGACTTGCTGTTACGAAATTCCTAAATGTATGCTAATATGCCTTTCCCCTGGAAAACGGTGCAGTATTATGATCATGTGACGTCCTGCCCAGCTGTCTTGAGGAGTTACCTAGAAGTGCGGCCTTCTCCGGTTTGAATCTGACTAGGGATACAATGGTTCCCGTGTAATAATACCCAGTAAAAATGGTCCAATCTCCACATACCCGTTACCAGGTTGCGCAAGCGCGAGAACGAGTTTGCATTTCTCTGCCACAAGTGTTGCCCCAAAGACGGCTGCTACTACAAAATGCGCCTCATTGGACCGTATACTTTCTCTGCAACACCTTTCGTCGTATTCGGGTGGCTGGTTGTAGTGTCAACGAGGATAATGCCGCCTAGCACCGGCCCGCTCGAGATTACGTGTTCAACACTAGATTCCACGGCCGCATCATCGCTCGCCGAGATGAAGATGATGATGTGGCCGCGGACTGCCAGATCAATCACAGAAGTACAGCGCTTGCCCACCACTGGGCGCTTCTAGAGCATCATCGTAAGATTCTGTGCGATCATAGACGCAGAGGGATGTCTCATCTCGAGACTGCGAACATCCGTGTGTGTTTTTGGCCGTTACGTTACTCATGCTGCCTAGTCCGATTTAGCCGAGCTGCGAAAGTTGTGGACCAAGACGATGGAGAGAGGCCATGGTGAGTGGCAATGATGTTGTTGGCACAATTCGACCAAGGCTGAGATTTCATCAAAATCACTTTCAAGTGCCCTTTGTTTGCACTATAATTTTGCTTAAGCTACCAGAATACATTGATGGGGTGTAGGTAAGTTTTTTGAATGGCTAAAGCTCAGTTTTAGGTGTCGCAGATAGTAGAGCAGCCCTCTACACTAATATCTACCTAGGTACTTAGGTAAGTTTGCTCGAAGGCAATCTATTGTTTACTAAGTACGTTGATCACTCATTCATGCATGATTCTCTACTATCTTCAATATATCAGAGATTTATTTGTATTCAATGGTACGAAGATTATACAATAGCAACACTATGGTTGTTTGACGTTGGCGATATTCGGAATGCTCTGCTTACGTAAGCGCTGCGAACTTGCCCCTATTCTCGTAGCCCCCTCTTATTAGCTTGCTGTGGCCCCTACATCCCGACAACTGCCCCTATGGTAAGATCTAAGAACTCCCCGTTGTGCTTGATAGCTTCTTTTTAGCACGCCTTTTTCGCAACATTTCGAAGGTTACACAAGATGTCTTTATTAAAATCGGGTATCAGATTGAAGCAAGGTGAAACTGAAAGCAGACAATGAAACCAGCAACTTCTCCTCTTTACCAGATGCTTGTAATATTATCATAGAGATACTAATATATCCAAGTTAGTTTAAATACTAGGACATGCCTGAGGGACACTTCTATCCGCTCTTGCCTCATCTACCCATCTTCAGCACCACATAAGACACACATCTCTCTCCACATTCCGACAACCAAACCTAATCTCACAACATCATGAATTTGGCAGATATTCTCGTCTTCTGTGGCATCGGCACCCTCGAAACAATCCACCTTCTCCGAATCTTCGGCGCCGCAAGCACCGGCACCGGCACCGGCTCGTGGATCCTGTGGATCGTCTACGCCGGTGTCGTCGGCGTCCTGCTGACCGTCGAAGCGCTGTTGAGCATGTTGAAATATAATCCGGATATGAAACTCGGCATCCCGATCGTCATAGCCGCCTACATCGCCCACGTCTTCATCATGTATACCATGCCGCGCGGCACCGGCGCCTCTGCCCACTTCGCGCGCTACTTGGACGCGGCGCTCATCTGCACCTGGATCCTCGCGCTTGCGGAATATCGCTGGGGTATCTGTACTGCAATTGGGGGGCTCGTCGGATAGGATACGGCGGTAATGGGCTCGGAGGAATGGTGATCGAGACTCGTTCTGAAATGGGTGTTGTGGCTCGGCTCTGCGCTCTCTCGTGTTGACGAGGCGCCTTCAATACGTCCAAACTTGCGCACTCTTAGCTACCTGTTGATATTGTGTCGAAACTCGGGCCCGGCACCTCGGATTACTCCCTGCTTATTCAACAAGGACGGAGGGAAGCTGAAAGGGTGCGTTTCGTACGACCCTCACGCTTCGCCCCGCGGATAATATCATACGCACTCGATGTTACGACATAATCGGCGGTACCTAATTCACATGATCAGCAAGACCGTAGGTAGAACTGAGGTCTCGGCTGTTGGGAATCTCCAAGTATGCAAATAAGACCAGCATTGAACCCATCGTGCGGATTTGTGAGGTTCTGTCGTTGATCACCCGCTAGCCTCTCGAGCTGTATAATGAGGTATTCTGGTCAAACCGAATGCATTTGACAAGTTGATCTGAACACCGCAAACATAGAAGCGTGTAGCGGAAAATAGATGACCGATACAGGAATCTCGAGATCGCAACGCACCTTAGTAAAAAGTAGCTGCCTCTAAGAGGAACCAATATCATAGCCCTACCGCCTCCTGCACGCTTTTACTTTGGCCGGCTCGGTATGCTCTCGACGCTTTCTTGACTGTCGTGGGCGTCCAAGCCCGTAG